ACAGAATGCAAATTCATGTTTATGAGTTGAGAATATGTTTTAGATGAATATCGGCAGCATTTTAAAGCAACTGTATGTAGTTTTGTGTATTTTTGCTACTTTGGAACCCCCTAACAGATAAGTGAGTGGAATTCACTGTCGTAAAAATATCACTGTCGTAATTACAGTGGCTAGCAGATCCAAAATCGCACACTCTCTCGGAATAAGTAGCCTAATTACTTAGCGACTGTTAAAAAGTACCGTGGCCTCATGGGATAGTGACGTGTCCATCAGATGCCCACTTCAGAATCTCAACGGAAATAATAGGTCAGACTTTTTGCCTACTGTTTTATGAATATTGTGAATTCGGGCATACTACTGTGTTCACATAGGGTGCTGTTTTTGGCCTACTTTATAGTAGGGAAGTGTGTGATTTAGCATCCAGTAGTGTAGCCTATTTTTTGGTGCCGTAAAGCAATCCGCCCTTTTCGCGGAATTCCCAAAATATGGGAACTCCCAAAATATACGTTTGGGGTGGGAACGTGGGAAAGAAACAGAAGACATTTTCCTTAATAGAAGTCAGTGTACCATCAGAATCATTTTGAAACTAATATCTCAAGGTTTATATGTATATTTAAAAAATGTAGCCTATAAATGTTCAAAAAGGTTTTATTTTTGGTTCCCCAAAGAACATTTAGGAGAGCAGTTCTTAAAAGAACCATATTTTCTTACTGTGAAACCTATTTTAATAGTCTAAATAACTTTTTTCTGCTATGAAGAAGCTTCTGTAGAATTGAAAGGTTCCTTGGATGTGAAACATTCTTCATGAAACCAAAGATTCAAAAAAACTATTTTTAAGAGTGTACACAGGTAAAGACTTGCTTGCAGTGGCCAACAGGAGGACATTTCCTCACATGGTTCTCAGCAGGGCCAGAAAACCTTCCATATACACAGAACGTGTATCTGAGGAGGTGCAGATCCTGTTAGGTCCCGGAAGGTGAGTCTTATCAGCTCCTGGTTTCAGGCCGTGTGTTGAGCCAGGCCTTGAAACCTCGCCGGGAACCATTGTGCATCTGACCCAGCTATATGACTGATAGCCTTCCCTGTCGAGGTCAAAATTGGAAGAAAAGGAACATCTGTTCAATTTGTAGACAGGCGTACACATATCTGTGTTTTGCTACAATGAAAGTCATGCAAGTAAATGTATTCGGCCCTCAATAAATAGGGTGTGACTAGTTCTGTTTGTACAGAACTATAATGGATTAGCCATATATTGAGTAATGACACTTTAATCACGCTTAACAGCACTTATACATCATACTTTCATTCATATTGACATACAGGGCCATAACCACCATAGACATTGAGAAGGACACTTCATCTCAGCGTTCAGATTAGTTCAGATTTGGTTGATTCTTAAATTGATTGTAATTTCTTCAGTGTTTATGTCCCAAGGGTTAAATTTTTGAAACTTTTTGTTTAATGAAGATCACTTTTACAATATCTATGAAATGTCTTAGTCATTCAGATGTGCTTAATGTGTAGTTTTTAGTGCTTTACTATTGTCACAAACCCAAACACTTCATCTTAAACTATAAAAAAACATTATATGATTTATTATATGTATACATATTTGCACACATTTCGACAAATGTCTCACAGTTGCTATTCAAACAACCAACAATTTTGTCCCAATAACATTTTTTCAGAAGTTAGTGTAGTTGGTTACCAAATAATATCCTCTGTGGTTGAGAATCTGAAACTAGAGGCGAAAAATCAAGGTAAATATCACCTATGAATATGCTATTCTGCATAACTATCAACTGTTTAGGATATATGGTATAGCTATGAAATTACCAAAACAATGAGTTACCAGTTTTATTTCTAAAATGTTTCAAATGTCACTTCACCCTGGACTGCTATTTAAAGAAAATGGAAATGTTTCATTATTTTATCAGCCAACAAATTAAACTAAAGTGATTTATATTCCCCTTACTTGAAATAAAATAAAATAAAATATAAACTTTTAAACTTTTAAATTGATGTAACTATATAAGGTTAAAATATATTGATATTTAAACTTAAAAATGAAATAAAAAAATAATAATAGTAATAATGTAAAATAATAAGTAGTGTCTGATAAAATGACATGTTAAAACAGCCATAGGGACAAATGTGGCCATAGAAACTATTACGTTTGTTGCCCCAATCCTGACTGTGTGGTTACATTCTTGCTGAGATATGATGAATTTTGGAGCTGTCAAATGAAATATGTGTTGTTGGACATTTTAGCCCATTTCTCCAACTACAGCGTATCTCTTACCAACATGTCCCTCATAACATGCCCACTCTGAATCTTTAAGAGGTGTCTCCTACTGCATTTTTTTTCTCCCCTGTTTCTTCCTTCTCTCTTTTCTTAAAGAGTGACTCATGATATTTAACCTACTTACTGAGCTCCACCTATAGCTGCTCTCTTTTGAACGTCTCGGGTCCGCAAACTCAGAATGCAGAGAAGGGAAAACATGGTGGTCTTCAAGTCAAGTCCATCAAACAGAATTGATGAAACTGGCAACAGAAAACAAAATAACCAACATGGAGTTTTGAAATGGCCCTCACTCAGCGAAGTGCGCTGACCCACAGCAGGGAGGCTAATGTAACACGTGAACAACACGAGAAGGTCCTGCACTGGAATGTCGCTCTGTATACATGTTTGGTATGAGTTGCCGACTTTCCGTCACGGTCCATGCATGTTTTTGAAGTCAAGAAGACTGCTCAAATTCTACCTTTTGAACACTGTTTTGTGTATATTTGCAGAGTTCATCAGAATGAAGCTGATCATTATGCAACGTTGAATGCGCTCATTCAGCATTTCAGGTGTTTGTTGATGTTATTGCAAACTTATAATGTTCCAATGTTTTCATATTTGTTGAGGCGGGTCTCTAATGAATGCTCTTTGATATGGTATTAGCTGACAGAAGCTGCAAACGATTCCCCAGGAGGCACTTGTGTCATGTGCTTCTGTGGCCTCCACTCTTCTCTCAGCCTCCTTCTGTTTATCCCCAGGCCAACAAACCTTGTGCTGGAAGCTTCAAATCCCATAATTACAAAGCTGACAGTTAACACACAGGTAAGCTACCCTTACTGACGGGCAAATAATGCAAACATCTTCTGATGGAGATGGAGGCCATGCTGCAGGTGTAGAAGTTACTCCTCCATATCTCCTGGGGGTTGTGAGGGCATGAGATCATCCCAACACAAAACCGCAGAGGTATAGGTTTGGTAGAGTGATCCACAGAATAACTATTTTTGGTTCCCCGAAGAACCATTCAGTTAACAGTTCTTAAAAGACCTTTTTTTTCTTGGTGCGAAGAACATTTTATTAATTAAAAAAAAAACCTTTGCACTATGATGAAGCTTTTGTCAAGCGGAACGTTTCCATGGATGTTAAAGTTTTTCATGGAACCATAGATGCCAATAAAGTGCCTTTATTTTTAAGAGTGGATTCTTTATATGTTCTTTAAACTAGAAAAACAAAAGATATTCTATGGTATTATTGTGAAAACACCCTTTTGTAACCTTTATTTTTAAGAGAAGCCGAGAAATACTTTCCACATGAATTAATAAAAATGTTAGGATTTTGCAGGTTAATAAATAATTTGCTCACTTTCTCACACAGAGCAATCACAGTACTTGAAATACAGGTCTGGGTTGTGCAGGTGATTTGAGGCTGATAAGTTATCTGATGGTGCTGCCACTCTAAGAGGGAGATGCCAGTTTCGTATCTTTTTCAGGTTCATATTTTTCACTAATAGCAGGTCAAGAGAAGTAAAAGTATGATCTCTTAAGCTGACAAAACATTACATTTTTAGGATACACCATACAGGCTGCCTGGAGTGGCTTTCCAACAGTATCCTGACAATTGAAATATATCCTTTAACAGCACATGATCAAAAACCAAAGATGAACCTTCTTTAACTTGTTTTTTTTTTAAGTTTGAAGTTTATGATCGAATTTTAGCTAACTCTAAAGAAGTATTATTATGAAAGAAACAACGGAAAAGTAGTAAGATAATGAACAGGAGATCACATGTTGTCTGGGCATACATTTTTAGAGACCTTCATGATATAAATACCACTAACAGAACAGCTCATGTTTCCCTTGTCCCTCTTGGGCCTTGAATTATGATTCCATTAGAGCAGATCACAAGGGTTAAGGTGTGGGACAGTATCAAAAGCTTAGACCACCACCTTGTGGCTTCACAGGGACATGACATATGAAACATATTTTTATTATTATTTTTTTCTTCTTCTCAAATATTAAGGTTTAGCTTTTGCTAAAGGTCAGTTTTGTAAAAAACAGTGTACAAAGAGACTGTATTTTGTGCTGTTCTTGTTGTCTGGATACACAAATAGCATTTTACATAACGTATAATAATATATATATATATATATATATAATAAATAAAAAAAACTGTGTGCGTTATAGTTTTATTATTAATTAATTAATTTAGTTTTGTGAAGTCTGTCCAAAACAGGTGCTCTATTTCCTCGACTAAATTTGCTATGAGTAATCTTTTAACTTACCACATATATAAAAACTGATCGTGTTGTCATTTCATAGCAATATCAAATTCAACAGTGTTTATGGTTGATATGGTGGAAGGTGGAAGTACAGAGTACTATAATCATTAAATTGAACAAAGCAGGATATTATGAAACTCTTGTTTTCATCAAAGCACATAACGCCCATAAATTACACAACTTAAATATGATCCAGATAACTGTGTGGGTGTGAATGAAAACAACGCTGCCCATTGAAGCAAACGTAGCCCGCCCTCTCTACTTTCTCATTGGTCGCTCTTACAAATTCGAGTTGCCATTGGTCCCCGCAGTGCTGTCGGGCGCGTTCTTTGATGACGCGGCTTGACCTTCTTGTTCTAAAAGATGATTGGGTAATCTTCGAGTCGCACATATACTTCTGGGTTTCTATTGGTTAGTTTAGACACGCCTGTCCTCCATTGCTCAAATCTCACATCTGAAGGTTAAAGTCTGTCTCTCTCTCCATCACACCGCGCTTCAGTCCAGCGGTACTCGCGTATCTCTCTCCCTCTTCTTGCTCATAATTTGTAGAAATATTAACACAATATCATGTCGATATTTGGTGAGGTCCCGCTGGCTGCTCCTGTCGCAGTGTTTAAACTGACAGCAGATTTCCGTGAAGACCAGAATCCCAGCAAGGTGAATCTGGGAGTCGGAGGTGAGAGATGGGCTTCATATAATAAACACACGCATTTACATATCAAAATATACGAATATGAATGTCAGTGTTTGTCAGTTCATGCATGCTTTGGCCATGCACACACAGTTATCTTTCTATGACAACAGTAGGCCTCATATCAATAATAAGAATCTGCTCTGCTTTACTGCAGCGCAGTGCATTTAAAAATGTCTATTTTATAAATTAGAGTCAAGTAAGGCCTGTTTCGGGTTATTTATTGTAGTGGTGGCCACGGCACCAGATTAGAGATCAGCAGTTAGTTTTCTGAAATCCAATAATATCATCAGCAGTGTTGGGGAACGTTACTTTTTAAAAGTACTGCGTTACTCCATAAAAAAAAAAAAGTAACTAGTTGCGTTACTTTTTATGGCAAGTAATGCGTTACGTTACTTTCGCGTTACTTTTTAAATCTGGACAGGGCTTGCTTGTTTGTTTTTAAAATAAAAAAGTTCTATTTTTGGCAAATATAAAATCCTTTTCACACCAAAAGTGAAATGAATAAGCCTCAGGCTGAAGGAAATGTAAATTTACGTCCGTACAGTAGAATGCAGAAGAAGACATTTCAACACACTTCAGCAATAAACAAAGACATAAATGTTTGTCTAGAGTAATTTGTGCTTATTAGTACGGTTAAACTGGATCATCGAAGGTCAGAAGCAAAGACATTGGTTAATAGAATGGGATTAAACACATAAAGGATATTTGTGTTGTTAAACATTTAATTATTGTAGGTTTGCGTCATATTCTGAGTTGCATTATTTTGATTCATTTTGAGGAATACTGAATCTGTGTGTTTTTTTTTTTTTGTGAGTGAGATGAATTAATGCATATTCATATTTATTTTAGAACTGCAGTAACATCTGATTTCTCTCAACATGGGGACAGGAGAGCTGTCGATCAATAAATTGGAGGGAAAAAAGTAACTTGCGTTACTTATTTGAAAAAGTAACTCATATATTCTCATGTAAATTAAAAAGTAATGCGTTACTGTACTAGTTACTTGAAAAAAGTAATCTGATTGCGTAACTTGCGTTACTTGTAATATATTACCCCCAACACTGATCATCAGTAACATGAGATAATTCATATATGATTTGAAATGAAACTATTGCATACTACTGCACGTATATCGCTTTAGACTATATGCAGATCATGCACACATATTGAATTAAGTTTTTTGTATTGTAAATATGTGTGTCTATTTAATCACAAAGTCTTTTGATCTTGAAGCTTACATTCTTGCAATTGGTTTTGTAGGCTAATATAGACTCGGTCTGAGTCTAAAGAACATTTGAACTCTTTTAATCATGTTTAAAATGCATTGACTGACAATGTTAACAAATCATATTATATCTGACCTTTTTCAAAGGAGCTCTGCACACTTTTGAGGTCCATCCTGGGATGCTTTTAAACAGTATTTAAAGAGTTCACATGTATGCTTCTTTAAATACGCTAAAATATAGACAATGTATAATAAAGAATGAAGTTATGTGTTCAAACGTTTAACTTGTGTTGTATCACATTAAACTGTACAGTTATCTGACATTAAACTAAAGGCATGGCATTTAGCTCCAGAGGCATTTAGGGTTTCTAAATATATTGAAGGATAAAGTTACTCTTCCGGCATTGGTCGTTTCTATTGGAGACCAGGCCCCTTGTGCAGTGCTGTTAGCTGGGGTTGAGTAGATTGTGTTATGTCAACAGTATTATTGTGCAGAAGCAGTCGTCATGTGTCATCTGCTGTGTAGTTATTCCTGATTCCGTTTAGAGAGCTTGACCTCGGAGGATTATCTTTATCTTCCATGATTCCAGAGGTTCTGAGACACGAGCAAAAGCTGAAAGTCACATCTCTAAATTTCCCTGAGTCCTGATTGTGTGTGGACTGGTTTTGAACACCTCCCCCTGGCCTGTGGTCTTTCTTCCGATTGAAATTATTATCCGTCTTGAACAACCCAGAACACTGATTTCATATGCTTTCTAAAGACATCTACAGTCTCTAACTACAGCTTGTCATACTTCTGCAGAAGGTGACTACAATATGCTATACTTTTTTAAAAGGCTTATAATTATACTAAACCAGATATGTTTCACCATTAATTGCTCATTGATCTAATATTTGATGCATTCAGACATGCAGATTTATTAAAGTCATTGCTCTGCTTCAAAATCTTTTGATTCCACAACTTTACCAGTTTATGTACAGGACAGAATTTATTTGGATACATTTTGTTCTGTATTTGCGTAGAATTTTTCATTCAAGTATTGCATCAGGACATGAGCAGTATACGTTAGTGTCGAATAAGCTAATTTTGCTCTTGGGTAAAAGTTCACCGATAAATCCTGATCATAGACAGCCCTGATAAAAAGGAACAATTACACATAAGAGATATTGAGTAGATAGGAATTCAGGATGCTGTAATGTACACTATTTAAAAGTTTGGGGTCTGACTCTGTTATTGTCTTTTTGCATTACTGACAAACTATTTTCCTGTTTAACACTGTAAAGCTGCTTTGACAACTATTGTTGTATAAAGCGCTATACAAATAAAGGTGACTTGACTTGTAAGATTTTTTTAAATGTTTTTGAAAGACGTCTGTCATGTTCATCAATGCTGCATTTATTTTAATTAAAGATGTAGTAAAAACAGTTTGTGAAACATTGCAATTTGAAATAACTTTTTAGTATGTTAAAATGCTTTTTGTTTCCGTAACGGCAAAGCTGAATTTTCAGCAGCCATTACTCCAGTCTTCAGTGTCACATGATGTTTTTGGCAATTTTTTGATGAATAGAAAATTCAAACCTTTTGAGCGGTAGTGTACAAATCAGAGTTTTGCCTTTGTATTTTGAAGTAGTATGGTTGAAAGGTTCTTCCTCTTCCTCTCCTTAGCGTACAGGACAGATGAAGGTCAGCCCTGGGTTCTCCCCGTGGTGAGAAAAGTGGAGAAGATGATCGCTGATGACCATAGTTTGAACCACGAGTACCTGCCCATTCTAGGCCTGCCAGAGTTTCGCTCCAGTGCATCTCAGATCGCTCTGGGTGAAGACAGTCCTGCCATCAAGGACAATCGGGTCAGATGAGATGCTTAAAATCCTGTTTTGATCACCTATATCAGGGATCCTCAAATCTGGCCCACGAGATCCACTTTCGTGCAGAGTTTAGCTCTAACCCTAATCAAACACACCTGAGCATGCTAATCAATGTCTTCAGGATCATTAAAAAGTCACAGGTAGGTGAGTTTGATTAGGGTTGGAGCTAAACTCTGCAGTGCAAGATTTGAGGAACCCTGATCTATATCAATAACAGTTTTTTATTTATTTTTTATTTATTAAAAAAATAAAATGTTATTGATAATTTATTCCTGTGATGCAAAGCTGAATTTTCAGCATCATTACTCCTGTCTTCAGTGTCACATTATCCTTCAGAAATCATTCCATTTTCAGATTTGGCAAAAAGTTTATTTTAGACCTTGTTACACATTTAGAACTGGCATCATTCTAATGTAGAGGTTTTTGTTGTTGTTGTTTTTTTGTATTGCAGGTAGGAGCTGTGCAGTGTTTAGGTGGCACTGGTGCTCTGAAGATCGGAGCCGAGTTTCTTCGCCGTTGGTACAATGGAACCGACAACACAAAAACTCCAATTTATGTGTCTGCGCCAACATGGGGTGAGCATAAGATCTAATTACACAAGGAAAATACTGTAAAAAAAAAAATTTCATTCTAATATTTCATTGACTACAGTATAAAATATATGTTAAAGTTTTGCCTCAAAAGAGCTTAACTATTTTCATGCTGACCTTAAGTTCAATAATTAACTTTATATATATATATATATATATATTGTTGGGTCAAATGCTAAAAGTGTTCAGTTCAGTTTGTGGTCTTTCATTCTAGAGAACCACAATGCTGTTTTCTCTAACGCTGGATTTGAGGACATCCGTCCATACAAATATTGGGATGCAGGGAAGCGTGGACTCGATCTGGAAGGTTTTCTGAGTGACCTGGAGGTTAGTAGCGATTTCGAAATTCCATTTTCTTTAATGAAACGAGCTCTTCATAGTTACTTATTTATCAGTAATTGATAAATGTTATCTAAAAACCTTTGATTGTGTGCAAAAAGAAGTGTTGAGCTTGACAGATTTTTTTTTCTGCTGGGCTCAATCAGGGCATTAAAAAAAATCTAGTTTGATTTTTGGCCCTTCGTATTAAAAGTTTGAACACCTCTGCTAGATACAGTCCATTTGACACTATATCTTTCCTGTCAGAGTGCACCTGATCACTCCATCTTTGTGCTGCATGCCTGCGCTCACAACCCCACCGGCACAGATCCCACCCAGGACCAGTGGAAGCAGATCTCTGATGTCATGAAGGTGAGACCATCACAACAACCCCACATCATCTGACTAAGATTAGAACATTGAAGCCCTTGATACAAAAATGGATCCTAATTGCATGTTATAAGACATTTAAGCACAATGTGCAATTACAACCTACTGTTGTCTAAATTTAAACTCTTTGCAGTTTTATAAATAGTGAGTTAACTATTGCATAATAATTATCTAAAGCCAACATATATCAAAATTGTAATAGAGTTATACAGGGCACAGAATGTTACTGAAAAGTTAATCAGTGGAGCTGTAATTCCCTAAAATGCATTTTTGTATGGCAGAGATGTTGTTATCTGGTTTTTTTCTTCTCTCAACTCTCTCTTCAGCGAAAGAGTCTGTTTGCCTTCTTTGATTCAGCCTATCAGGGTTTCGCCTCAGGAAATTTAGATAAGGACGCCTGGGCTGTCCGCTACTTTGTGTCACAGGGTTTTGAATTGTTCTGTGCCCAGTCGTTCTCAAAGAACTTCGGTCTGTACAGTAAGTGGTTCCAGTGGAGTTTATGTTAGTTGTTAGAGATTACATTTTAATGCCTTGTACTATGTCCTTGTTCAGAACCATTTGATTGTAAAGAATAATCTGACTCCACAGATGAGAGAGTGGGGAACCTGACTGTTGTAGCCAAAGACCAAGACAATTTGAACCGTGTACTGTCTCAAATGGAGAAGATCGTTCGCATCACCTGGTCCAACCCTCCATCCCAGGGTGCACGTCTGGTTGCCATCACACTCAACACCCCTGAACTCTTTGCTGAATGGTAAATGCAGTTAAAATTAATCTAATTTTATGATTTTGGTTCAACAACAAAACATTAATACATTTAATATTGTGTCTCAATCTCAATTTCATCACTGTGATGTAAAAAATCTATTACATATTAAATTGTAAACTACAGTATTTATAGGATTATGTGTACTGCCCTTAATTTATGATGATTTAAAAAGATGATACATTTATACACACACACACACACACACATATATATATATATATATATATATCTTGTTTTGTGGAGAAAAAAAAACTGTGCAAAAGAAAACAAATGTGGGATGAAATGTGACCTGCATGTGTTCTTAACATATTTTGTGAGATTCACCAGTGTATATGTATGTTTTAAAGGGGTCATATGATGCGATTTCAAGTTTTCCTTTCTCTTTGGAGTGTTACAAGCTGATTGTGCATAGATAAGATCCCTGAAGTTGCAAAGACTAAAGTCTCAAAACCAAAGAGATGTTATTTATCAAAGTTAAGACTCTGCCACGCCCCCCTAAAACAGCTCGTTCTAACACGACCTTCTGAATCAGTGACTGTAAGTATGTTTTGTTATTAGTTTGAGTATTTTTTGCTGACTGTTCAAATGCGGGGTGTTGCGCATCGTGTGTGTGTGTGTGTGTGTGTGTGTGTGTATGTGTGTGTGTGTGTGTGTGTGTGTGTGTGTGTGCGTGCGCGCGCGCGAGAGAGTGAGAGAGAGAGACAGCTCACATCAAAGTGGAGTCAGCTGTCTTAACCGTGGCTTGTGTACTGCAAACACATACCAGCTTCATCACTGTGTCTGTCACGGGACTCTGTTCCCCTTTCGGGCTCTGTCTTTACATTTATTTTGAAAGATGAAGCTCGCGATTATGGTAAGGGGCGTTACATTTCCGACGAGTGCTTGCGGTATTTGGCCAATCACAATGCACTGGGTCAGCTGGCCAATCAGAGCAGACTGCGCTTGTCGGAAGGAGGGACTTTGTAGAAAACGAAGCGTTTGAGAGAGGCGGGGCATAGAGGACCTACAATAATGTACAGTATATGAAAAATAATGTGTTTTTTGAACATTAAAGCATGTCAACATATTCTGTTACACCAAATACACAAAATAATGATCTTTAAAAAAGCATCATATGACCCCTTTAAGGGATATTCATAGTCTGGCATTTTTCCATCTTTCTACAGGAAGGACAATGTGAAGACCATGGCAGACAGAGTCCTGCTCATGCGTGCTCAGCTGAAGGAAAAACTCAAAGCACTCGGAACTCCAGGAACCTGGGAGCACATCACTGAGCAGATCGGCATGTTCAGCTTCACCGGACTCAACCGTAAGCATCTCCTTCTAGCGCTTTCACACTTCATTCATCCATGTGTCTCACCACTGGAAACATCTGTTCTAACACGGCAGTCAGTCATGCTTTATCTACTGTTCCTTACACTTTACTGCAGCTGGAGATAAATAGTTGCTGTGGTTTCAAATCTTTATTTAAAGCCTTTTAGGTTATAGGCTTTAAAAGCGATAGTAATAGTTAATGCTAGTACTTAGAAAATAGTTCAAAGTACTGAGAAGATAGCTAGAATGTAAGAAATGTGAAAATAGAAGTTAAAACTGAGAAAATAGTTAAAAAATAGTACTGAGAAAATGGTTAAAAGCTAGTACTGTGGAAATAGTTAAAAGCCAGTACTAGGAAAAATCAATTTGTTTGCAGTTGCCACTATTTGATATTTTGTTAATTGATAGTTTGATATTTTGTTAATTAATGCAGTGTATGTGTTTCAAATTCACATAAAATGTCACACAACCATTTGAAAATGTTGTTTTCTGTTTTACAGCTAAGCAGGTTGAGTACCTGGTGAAAGAGAAGCACATTTATCTAATGGCGAGCGGGCGCATCAACATGTGTGGCCTCACCACCAAGAACATCGACTATGTGGCCGAGTCCATTCATGAGGCTGTCACTACAGTCTAATAAGCACCTTTACCACACTTCCTGTTTGTGTGTGTGTGTCCACAGGAACATAGACACGCACAGACACACACACTGATACACCCCTTCACTCACCAGCTTTCCTGGTCTAATTTAGTCATCAGCATTTCAACATTCTGTTTTAACTTGTATGTGATTTGTTAACTGCACACAGAGAATGACTGGCACTGCTAGAATTTACTCTGTTGTCTATTCATATTATATGCTTGTCGATTTTAAACTTACTGTGACAAGGTTTGTTTCTTCATCAGAACAGATTTGAAGAAATTTAGCATTACATACTCTGCAGTGAATGGGTGCCATCAGAAGGAGAATCCAAACAGCTGATAAAAACAACAATAATCCACAAGTAACCCACACGACTAACATCTTGTGAAGTTGCATGTTTGTAAGAAACAAAGCAGCACCTGTTGTTCTCTCACATCAAAATCCACCCTCATATTTGCTTAGAACTGACCTAGACTGTTTTCACTTGTAAACTCAGCTTGATCTGTGCATATTTCTCTGCTGATTATGGATAGAGGACTTGCATTTTAACTGAAAGCCACAGTTTAAAGATTTAAAAAAAAACTTTATTACAAATCAGCAGTTTGTCACTTCACAAGACAATAACTGACAGACTGGAGTGGTGTTGATTAATGTGTTGTTTTTATCAGCTGTTTGGACTCTCATTCTGACGGCACCCATTCACTGCAGAGAATCCATTGTTGAGCAAGTAACGTAATGCTACATTTCCCCAAATCTGATAAAGAAAGAAACTAGGGCAGTTTTGGCAAATGTTCATTTTGGGGTGAAATATTCCTCTAAGTTAAGCAACTATAAGTAACTTTTTACTATATGCAAAGCCGCAACCATATTTTTAAGTTTAGGGAGCAAAAGTTTTAGAATCTGCCATTTAACAGGCACAAATTGCACTTCTGACAATGGGCTTTCAATTCTGAGTGATCGAGTGGCATTATCTGAACACAATTTATGATAAGCATATTCAAATAATGTGTTCTGCCTCAAAATAACACCCAGCAAAGGTTATCATCCTGAAATAGTCCAGCAGTTGTTAAACATCAATGAACTTTCTTTTCGTGTACCTGAAGTGAAATTTGTTGATATGAATCTAAAACATTCTCTTCCATAACAGGACTGAGTGCTCAAGTGTACCATAATAAACCTTCAATTGGTGGCTGACTAAATACTTTTTTGCCCCACTGTATATTGCTTAAAAGTTTTTGTTTACTGAAATTCTACAAAAATTGTTATCCAAGACCAATTTTAATCAAATCTTAATTTATTGGGATGCCAGTGGTACTTTTCATTCTAAAGTACCACAACAAAACCTAATAGAACATTTGATATTCTCTTTATATATATATATATATATATATATATATGTTCTTATATAATCAGAGCAACATTTTTTGTAAAGTCATACACAATTCCTCAGGTGTTTTCAAATAGAAGTCTTTGTAAACTCTGTAGAAACATATATCTATCCTTCGGCCGACTCAATGTACAGAGAGCGAGAGCTGCAGAGGATTTTCTAAACGTCTTTAGCAAATACCCTCAGTTTAAGGCTTAAATATACACGTGCTTAAATATACAGTGGATTTCTCATCAAAAGCAGCTGAGTCAGTCATGTGTTTGTTTGGAGGGGTTGATCCAGGCGTCAGTATGCGTCACTCAGTCCACTCTGCAATGCAGCACCATGACGTTAAAAAGTGCTGCCCCCCTTTCTTTCTTTCTTTCTTTCTCTCTGTCAGCATGTGCTCTCCGCACAGTATTGCACAACACAAAGTGTCCATGTGGCCTGAACGCAAGCAGACACATTCAGTTTACTCCCAACCAGACCATCAAGATGCAAAGCAACTTTATAAAAGGGGCTAGCTTGGTTATTGCCATTAAATATTAGGAATAATTATCAAGGGGAAAGAAACAGACATCCAGTGGTTTCCAGCCTGAGTCTTTGTGCTTTCTGTGTTTGACTACCCGGTGGTGTGGTAGGTCACTGTTAGCATAGAGGCAAAAAGAGTCTCACTTGTCACCAGTGTCTGCTGCATGCGTGCAGGAGATAGGTATTAACTCGACATACTCAGTAAAAACAGCCTTTCATGCAAAACACATTCTAGGTATAATCCCCTGGCATAATGTAATCATGTGACCTGTTGTTGGCAGGGATGAGCTGATTGGTTAGTTTGTCATGATCACGGCATGCTGGGAAAGTCATGGCAGTGAGCCAGTAATGGCAGCTCAGATATTCTTCTGATATTTGGGTTTTAGTTTGAAGTTTGAGGTCAGTAAGATTTTGTGTTTATGAAAAACTCTCTTATACCCATCAAGGATGCATTTATTTGATTGAAAATACAGTAAAAACTGTATTAGAAGAAATATTATCACAATTTAAAATGAACTATTTTCTCTGTAAATATTTAAAAATGTAATTTATTCCTGTGACGCAAAGGATTTTCAGCATCATTACTCCAGTCTTCAGTGTCACACGATCCTTCAGAAATCAATCTAATATGCTAATTTGATCAAGACATTTTTCTTATTATTATTAATGTTGAAAAAAGTTTTTGTTTTTTTTTGTGGAAAAACTGACTTTTTTTTCAAGGATTCTTTGATGAATAGAAAGTTAGAATAAACAGCACTGATTTCAAATAGAATTTTTCGTGACATTATAAATGTCTTTCCTGCCACTTTTTATCAATTCAAAGCATTCTTGCAAAATAAAAGTATTAATTGCTTTAAAAAACCTTACTGACACCAAACTTCTGAATGGTAGTATGAATGGCATTTTAAAAAGGCTCTAATTTACAGGAGGTATGAAGCTTGAAGATGAAATTCACATAGCAGCATGCTTTATGAAAGAAAAACAAGAATGAGATTTTCAGCCTCTTGCAGTAAAATTACCAAGTATTCTATAGTTTTCAGTTTCACAAGGGCTCAAAAACAAAATACTATATAGGCTTCTTGCATGTTTTGGATATTGCTTATGATTTTTTACACACACACACACGTATATGCTGTATATATATATATATATCTGAGGTGACATTTTAGTATCAATGCTTCAAGTTTGTTTAAGTTATGGCTTGCGCATATCCTAACTATATTTTATACAGTAAGCACAATGCTGTTCTAATAACAATAATAATACTGCTGTTTGAGAAAAGCATGCAGATATAATAAATCTTATTTTTAAATAAATAAATCTGTTGTCAAATACATGTGCTCGGACCACTAGCACTGGCATCTCGGACTATTTAAAACTATTCAAATATGGCCTAAAATAGCTAAAAAGAAAAAAAAAGCCATATCTCTTTGTACCCTGTGCTCTCAGCCGAACAAGAAGTGCAAAAATAAAAGCAAAATGATAAGAAATAAGCCTAAAATATTAGTTCTTTTGAAAAGAGAAAATCTAAGAAAAAAAAGATTCTGACACCACTTACCTAATATAGGTATTTTTTCTCTGGCAACTCCTCAGCTATTCAACAGAATATGAAATAAATGGGTCTGATCTGTCTCAAAGTTCTCTGATATCTTGATTGAGTTCCAGGCACAGCCTAACAAATACCTCTCACTTAATATGATATAAAATCACACAATAAACACTTTGTTTCAGGATAATTCTACTGAAAGATGACCATACTAAAGGTTCTGCCCTCGCATTGGTCAAACGGTTGGCTTCAGGTCTCCAGGCTTGTGCTTGCTGGCTTTGCCCGGGGTCAGCGGTCAGAATGTCATTACCACAGTGACTGGAGATGACATCATCATAAACCTCCATCAAAACTGTAGTATATCAACGGTTACGTAGCATCTCGTCAATTAAAAAAACATGTGTCTTGCTGCATGTTGTACATTTCCGGTTTGTTATATTTCACAGGTTGTCCAGCCCGTTGCAATGCTGAAGGCAAGGTTTTCTGATGCTACATCTGTTGTGATGGTCATTGTACACTGGGTTGTGCTTTCTCTCACTCATGATCCAGAGGAAGGCTGGAGAAGATTTCACATTTGTGGGAGAAGCAGGTGAGAGAGCGAGAGAGAAGCAAACCCATACAATGAATGCTAGGTCTTCACCTGTGATTGTTCAGGATTGTCTTCCAAAGGTTTATCTCCATCACGAGACTTCTTTCTTTTTTTGTTGCCTGGAGAGTAGAAAGTGAAATGTAAAATCCCTAGTTTTGAACTGACCGGAATATTTTAAATAAAAAAGCTGTAAACTGATGAATAAGTATGAACAAGTGATGAAAATGTCTGATTGATGAGTACCGTGATTTAGCAAGCAGGACATGTTTCTGACAGGTTTGCGCACCATTCAGAATTGAATTAAGAATGCCTTTAATATTTCAACGCAAGTCCTGAATTTGAAATACATTTGTACTGAAACAGGATGCATAATTGCAATTTGAATGTCAATTTAAGTAGAATTAAAATCAACTGAAATTCACATACTGTAACTATTTTTATTTATTTATTATTATTTTTAATTAAATGTTTTTGAGAGTAAGGCTTGTAAATACTTTGAATGGTAGCTTGACAAAGGCATATTTGGAATAAAAAAAAAATCAAAACTAAATATCATATATTTTCTATATTTACTGGAATTTAAATTAATATACTGTAAATGTACAACTTAAATTTATATACACTAACATTAATCATGTTTGAAAAATTGTTAAAAAGAATTTCAAGGTTTTTTAGACAATAAATAAAGAACAGATAGTAAAATAAATAAATAATAACAACAATAATAAATGATACTTATTATTAGTCATTGTTTTTTGTTTCAAGGTTTTATGTATATATATATATATATATATATATATATATAGAAAGTTGAAAGTATATTGAAAACACATTAAATTTAAACATTAAACCATTTAGCTTTTATCACACATTAAATGTAACTTTATAAGTTATACGTTTGATTCCCAGTGAGGTATATACTCCAAATACATTTTGAATTGCTGTAAGTGTCTACCAAATGCATGAATGTAAGTAAGGAACATTACTGAATCGATGATTGTTGACTAAGTAAGTCTAGTTGGTTAGGCTAGTCAAGAAGCTTTGCCGGAGCACCAGCCTCCCACACATTTTTTTTTAACAGCAGGAATGATTTCTTGATCAAATGTTTTTCCAGGAGCAACAAAGGCTGCAGACCCAGAAATATGTCCAACTTGTGTAAATCACATTGTTCTGAGTGACTTGTCATTTTTTATTAAACAGATGTGTGGGCTGCAGTTTGCCTGGCTGGTTGCTAGGAAACAGATGGAGTTTGAAGATGCAGAGTAAAAGCAGGTGTGTGTGTGTGTGTGTGTGTGTGTGTATGTGTGTGTGTGTGTGTGTGTGTGTGTGTGTGTGTGTTTGTGCAACTGTAAACGCAGGTGTCGTGTCATAACAGGTGAGATTCACAGATGCTCAGTCAGATGCTTGGCAACTGATACACACTGAGCTTCCGGAGCAGTTTTTTCCCCAGGTTCTCATCCGAGCCGCCCAAAGAGTGAGAGCTGATGAGCTGGGATGTAGACAGGTCCGTCTCCATGGGTACGGCTGTTGCATCTGAAATAGATTGGGCACACTATGACAATGGGCCATGATCACATGACAAACTGAGCTGAAAAGTCATTGGTTAGTCTTCTCTTCTCTTCTCTTCTCTTCTCTTCTCTTCTCTTCTCTTCTCTTCTCTTCGTCTCCATGGGTACGGCTGTTGCATCTGAAATAGATTGGGCACACTATGACAATGGGCCATGATCACATGACAAACTGAGCTGAGAAGTCATTGGTTAGTCTACTCTTCTCTTCTCTTCTCTTCTCTTCTCTTCTCTTCTCTTCTCTTCTCTTCTCTTCTCTTCTCTTCTCTTCTCTTCTCTTCTCTTCTCTTCTCTTCTCTTCTCTTCTCTTCTCTTCTCTTCTCTTCTCTAGTCTTCTCTTCTCTTCTCTTCTCTTCTCTTCTCTTCTCTTCTCTTCTCTTCTCTTCTCTTCTCTTCTCTTCTCTTCTTCTCTTCTCTTCTCTTCTCTTCTGTGTGCATCCAAACTTCATTGATTCTTGATTTAGTCATTCCTGTTAACCCCCAGTCATAACAAGCAGAGCTGAAATGGACAGTTCTAGTCTGATGTCAACATTCCTTTGCAGGTCGTATAAACAGAGTCTATACAGCTCATGCATTTCCTCTCCCTGCAGTCTGTCAAACGTCCCATTCGCTGTCAAACAGCCACTCCAATGTTTGAAAGTTTGGGTGCATTTAGTCAGAGAACAGACCACCACCCTTCTTAAAAGGATAGTTCACCCAAAAAGAACATTTTGTCATTATTTACTCACCCTAAAGTCATTTTCTAACCTGTGTGCTGTTACTTTTTTTCTGTTTAAGACAAACACAGATACACACTTTAGGAATCTTCTACTGCATGAAAGTATTGTAAAAGTAGTCCATGCAACTACGTTATTAAAAATGATTCTGAAGCTCTGAAATCATATGATAGCATTGTCTGAGTATCGCAAAAATGTAAAATGACTTTGAAAATAATATACATAGTCACTATGAGTAGTTGTAGTGAAAAAAAAGAATTTTCTTCTAAAATGATCCATGGACTGCATCCAGGTTTGAAATGCCATGAGGGTGAATAAATAAATTGCATTTAAAATGTACAAATGTAATTAAAATAATTTTTATTTTTGGTGAACTATTAATTTTTGTATTTCAAAAAGTACAGTTTCTGCAGTGATTTATGGTCGCCTAATGCCCAGTTGCTTCGTTTGATTGGACTTTTAGCAGCTTTTAAATTCATTTTTGGACTTAATGAGGTAAACACTGGTGCATAAGATCATGGTTTGGCTTCAGAAATCATCCTTCAATTCACCCACCAGTTCCTTCTTTTCTCTCCAAGCGATTGTCTCTTATATATGGGGTGTCATCCATACGCAGGAACACAGAGTCACTGGGGCTCTTCTGTCCATCTGATTTACTTCCTACAGGGGGAGCCAGAGAACCACAGTCAGCTGATCACAGAGGAAATACTGAGTTTGTAGCACTATGCAGGAGTATCTGATTACAAAACTATGAGCAATCAAAGACATTTAAAGCTATGAGTGATTTGGGAAACACAATTTTCCCACCTGTGTTGACATTGAAACAGCATACTAGCATACTACTCTTCCTGTTTCTGCCATATAAAGCTAGTATGCAATTCTCAATTCAGCCACATTTCCTATTGAATCAGGAAATTGGGGTGGGATGTATTGAAGACCTTTTTTTAAAACAGCTAGTAGCCTTTAATATTCATAACAACCTGAGATTAACCACAGTTCATACTGAGGATGAAAGCAATGAAGACTCTTTACAATGAATGGTGGACTATTTCTCACAACAAGAAAATGATTCTGCTTTTGTTTTTGGAATACGACTATAGCCCTACTTGAGGGAGAAGATTCTGAAGATGAACAGGCCCTCGGTCATCATCAGCCGGTAAGCTGTCAAAATCTTTGCTTATTTTGTATTTTTGCTGCTGTCTGATTGTTGTTATATCATTCAGTTGGTGGCATGGATTTATGTATAATTCAGACGGAAGAGATATCTTCATATTTACTGGACAAAAATAGAGCGAAACTAGAGAACACCCCAAATTTCACATTATCTTATATATATATATATATATTACATACACACATGACATATATTATGAATATCTTATATAATTTGCATTTATACTATTATTTAAATGAAAAAAATGTAAATTAAATTTAAAGTATACATTCAATTATATTAAAGATTATGCAATATTTTTAATCCAGGAATATTTTTTGTTTTTATGAATACACAATATTTTTAATCCAGGAATATTTTTTGTTTTTATGAATACACTTGACTTCAAGTTCAAGCTAGCAAACTTGAACAAAAAGCCCAAACATTTTGATTTCAAACTCTGATTGTGGAACTGCTGTCATATCTCAAGTTTCAATCTGTACTGCATGCAAAGTGCATTGGATATTTACAGTAGCATTTTATATCAATGCAAAGATAATGTTCGACAGTGTAATTTGATTAACCTGCATTTGATCCTGTGTATAGTACTTATAGGACAGGCCTCATTAATTAAAGGAAACACAGCTTGGTTGTGTTTTGACATGTATAAGTGATTTCTAACTTAAGAATCAGAGTTAAACCTTTTCACACAAAGTCTGATTAGTTTTAGTAAGAGGATTAGAGTTCGGCCATCTGTCTTGTCTTGCACTTGGAAGCTGTGAGAAACGTCCTAATTCCATCACATGTATCATCAACATGCATTATCTGCATCCTCGGTTTCCACAAAGATTAAAATTACTGACATTGATATGTTGTAGTTATGTTTAGGTATATTCAGACAACTCTTTTGGTGTTCCTCAAACAGTGGCTTGACACCGTTGTTTTGCAATCACTCTCAACGTTAGAAAAGATCAGAAGGCTTTGGAGATGAGCTCAAATGGTCTGTCATATAAAACCCCAGAAAGATGCTATAAATGAGAAGCGAGTGCACTCACGGACGATGCGGTTTCTCTCATTAAGGGTGCTGGTGCTGTCTGGCTGTCTGTAGAGGTGGCTGTGCTGGTGAAATCGGGTCAGACAGGGCCGTGGTTCTGTCAGAGGAAGGGCGATGCTGTTGGAACGCGTCTCAGGGATTGTCATTCTCTCCCCGGGCACTTGACTGTCTGCGTCGGGTGTTTGTGGAGAGCTGTCCATGCGTGTAGCCGTCAGGGCGTTCTGATAATGGTTACGAGTGATCTGGAAAGAATGACATAACATAAACAGACACATTACAGTTCGCATCTCATAATTCTATATGATTTCTAACACATAGCATTAGAATATTTGTTATTATTTGCATTATTTATGATTTTTTTTAAAGTATTTGCATTAGCACGTTTGAAGCAAAACTAGAGAACACGGGAAATAAAAACTTGATAGGAGTTTTTTGGATCAGCCTCACAAAAACTGGACTTGGTTCATATTCCACTTCAAAATCAATTATAAATAAAAATATAAACAAATAAATAGACAAATAAATGGTTGTTTGTTTGAAATTGATATTTATCAGAGGTGCCCAAACTACTTAATAAGAAAGGCCGAAAATCAAACATGCTTGTGGGCCATGGGGCAAAAGTACATGTTGCATTATGTCTAACTATATTATATTAAAGTGTAATATATTTAAATAACAATTTATGATTTTTTTTTTATTAATCAGATGCACTTATAATGTTTTTTAAATATATATTTTCATGCAAAAATAAAACAAAAAATGTTAAAACAAAAACAAAAATATAAATTATTAATTGTCATTAATATTATTTAAATGGATTGCACAATTGTAAGTATACATCATGGTCACATTTGACTGAATTTAATGCCGATAAATATTTTTTAAATAAAATCAAAATGGATTAATTTAAAAACATAAATTATGTATTTCATTAATGAAAATAATTAAAAATATATTGTATCTAGACAGGATTATTTACATTACGATAATGAGAAAAAAAATCTATTTTTATAGCATTACAGTATAGAGAATTTAGGTTAAAAACTTTAATGATCTTCAAATTAAATACAATTTCGATACTATTAATTTCTTTTGATATTGGGTTATGTGAACCATAATATGACCCATAATGTTTTTGAATTTTCCCCTCATCCAGCTGTCTGAAAAACAGTGTTTCTCTCTCTCTCTCTCTCTCTTGCTCTCTCTCTCTGAGAATAGTCAAATTTACCTTAATGATCTGTAGGTCTGTGAGCTGGCGAACTGAATAGTCTGGTAAATACGGTCCTCCGCTGATGCTCAGTTGACCCAGACTGCCTCCATGGATTGTAGTATCCGAATGATTGAGACCGCTGCTCCGGGACGGTGATCTGTGGACTGGATCACACCAGTAGAAGTCATTCAGCTGATTATTGCTTTAATTATTGCCACAGATATTTACTTTTGCTTTCCTCGGGCTATTGAGAGTCTACATATATATACTGATATGTTGAGATAGACTACTTATTCAAAAATTCAGCCAAATGTACACAACTTGATTGGACTTGTTTATTCACTGCAAAAGTGACCTCTTAATGAGTTTAAAAAAAATAAAATATCTAAAATCCTTGAAGCAAAATATTTGTACTTATGTAGAAATAGTTTCACTTATTTATACTAGTGCAAACATTATTTTAGATGTATTTTTAGATAGTAGTATCAATTATTAAAGGTGTACATCTTTTTAATGAAAAAAAAAATCTTTGCGTGAACATTTGGGTGGCGTTATGCAAATCATCCCACATACTGACGTAGATATGTGGGGGCGTGTTAGAAAGAGGCGTTTTAGGGGGGTGTGGCTGACTCTGAACTTTTAGAAAGAATATCTCTTTGGGTTTGAGACTTTAATCTCTGCAACTTCAGGGATCTTGTCTATTCACGAACAGCTTGTAACACTCCAAAGAGAAAGGAAAACTTGAAATCGCATCATATGACCCCTTTAAGACAAAATTTTTTCCTATTAAAGATACATTCTCTGGAAATAAGCCTATGTTATCTACATCTATATATCGCTTCTCAAAGTAAATTTATTTTTTCAGTGGATTTTTAGCCATTTTAACTGGTCAAATTTGGCAAAAATACATGTTAAAAATAGGACATGCAGTGCTGAACAGTGGAAAAACCTTTTAGTGATTGTGATTATGAGAGCAAAAAAAAACATATGCCATACACAGACTCTCTCTGTGTGCATGTAGATGTCATATCTCATTAGATGCTGAGGTCCTGGATGGAGTATACCTGTTTGCATCTGTGGTGTGGCTTTTCTTTATGTCTTTATATCACAGAGAGATGCAGAGAAAACTCTCACAAGAGAGAGACTATGACACAGACACTTGGCTTACATTTAACACACATTCATTCTGAATTAATCTCTTCAACTAGGGCTAAAGGCTCCATCCTTTAAGTTATTTTTGCATTTTCATGAAGCTAAGCTTATGAGATTTTCATCCTTATATAATAACATGTCATTTTGCCTGAGTGGGCAGACGAGAGTTTCTCTCCCACTGTAATTACCCGACTCTACTCTCCTAAGATTTACATAGCCGCTCTATTTAGATTTGCTGTCTTAATTATCTCTGGAGAGCGTTGCTAGAGGGGTCACGTAGGCCTGTGCTCCGCGCTCAACCCCTCTCCGAGTTTTTAATTGCTCATTACGATTTGTACTGCAGGAAAACTGAGATATTCTGGAAAGTTGATTTATTTAATGAGGCTCTGTTCACCTCCAGTGATGAATTCTGACCATATTAAAGCAGCAAACAAACCTGTGGGTAGGATGGTCATAATAGCAGGTAAGCCGTAGTATGTGAACGGCCCGTTTTCAAACTTTAGTCCCTCTTTACCGATCTCTACCTCCACTCGACCCTGCAGCCAGAGAGAGGTGGTTCAGACATTTTTATTGTTGAGAGCTTTGAAAACGAGTTTTCAATTATGAAAACTGAGAAAAATCAAATTTTTCTCCACTTACAGTGTGGTCCAATAGTGAAAATGCTTTTATTTTGCATTTAATGTAATATAATTTTGTCATGAATGACAATATTTTGTCACAAATGAATTGATTAGCATTACAATTTTAACACGTTTGTTTTGTATTTTTTTATTATTTAATCAAATTATTTGTTTTCCTCAGTTTGCAATAATGAAAAATGAGGAAAATGACATTTCTGTTCATACAATGGGTTCCAATAAAAAAAAGCTTTTATTTTGTATTTCTTGAAAGTAATATAATTTTGTCATAAATTAAATTATTTTGTCATAAATTAATAGATTAGCATAACAGTTACAAGAAAATATTAATGTTTCTAGTATTTAATAAAATCATTTATTTTGCTCAGTTCGCAATTATGAAAACTGAATGTATATGGAGTCCAATAGTGAAAAATCTTTTATTTTGAATTCTGCAATAATGTCATATGTTATAAATTAATTTATCTGCATAACAGTTTGAACAAGTTTATAAAAAAAAAATTATAATAATATATATATATATAATTTCAGAATATATTTTTATTTATTTATAATGCATTTCAGAATATATTTATTTATAATGCATTTCAGAATGTCTTTTAAAACTTGTAGTACTTTACCTGCAGTATGAGGATGAAATAATCTACAGGCTTGTTGCGCTGGAAGAGGTAGTGCTTTGGTGATCGCTTGTTTTTCTCATCAAACTTGAGTTCCTGCACCACGCTTGGGTGCTTTATCAATCGCAGGAGGATCTTCTCTGAGAGATGCGTCGACTTAAAAGGCTCTACTTCTACCGACAGAAAGGGAACGGAGAGAATAAGAAACACATTAATGATATTGACAATGAAACAGCATTCTGATCCTTCATCATCTGATGATGATTCGCAATACTGCACCAAATGAGTAGATACATTAGATTGTCAAATGAATGTGAACACATCCTTTTGGTCCTGAATTTTATGTTATAAACCTAAAACTATTTTCAGTTTCTTAAAACTTCAAATTCTACTAATCCAAAACTGTCTGAATTGATATGTGAGACTCTCCCACAATTGTGAATTGAGATTACCTGTTGCTAGAAAGCGATGTGTTGCGAGCAGAAGCTGTGGTGAAACTTTGACCTTCATTTCACTCTCTGACAGTTTAAATATGGAGAAGTCTTGCTGTTTCCTCTCATGGTGGGATACTCGTCTCTTTGTACGGTTATCAGCTGCCACAACAAAACAGCAATACATTATACTGGATAAGCTTGACCTCAAACCAATAACAAGTGAATGAGACTAGAGAAAATATGCTTAAAATACAAAATACTGACAATAAAAGGTTAAAAGAAAACTGTAATATTTAACTCCAGGCAATTTATACAGTATGCCACTCAAGATAAGTCCGTTGAATATAATACACTTTTTTTGTATACATATTTGACTTATTATAGGCTAATAAAATGATTAGTCATACGTAATAAATACATACCAACACTAAATATGCCAAAACGATTTAAATGCACTTTGATTGACTTGCACAACAATTTTCTTAGAATTAAGGTTTGTTTGTTTTTTATATAATTCCAGAAGTCATATTGCAAGGTGTCCATTATTGCCATTTCCAATAATTAATTATACAATTTTTCATTCACATAGTTAATTATTTTTTAAAAATAAATATACAGTTTTATCTTCAACATAACAGTATTGTTTTTTGTAGTATTTAAACTAAAACACGTTTTAATGGTATACAAGTTGGATCAAAAAAAAAAGTCTGCTTCTGTAGAATATGTTACTATACTTGACTATAACTGTCACCGTCCCACCTGTGGGACGCTTGGCACTCTTTTTTTGTTGTCCGTTTTCTCTATCAAATCTTTTAGTAATCATCATAAATCTATAATCATCATAAATATATCATCTGAAAGCTTAGAAGCCCAAGATTCATCCTGTGAAAACCATTTTGAAATCGGACATTGCGTTACCATGAAAATGGTACTTTAAAATCTTTTGGCAGGCTCCTCCCCCTTAGTGGGCGGTGTCAAGTGTCATATTACAAAATGCATTATGCTCTTTTACAATCAAAACTTTTTAATTTAATTGTAAAATTGAATAGAGTTTGGATGGCACCCGGTGGCTGTTTGTGGTATAACGCCCTAAATAAAATCTCACAGGAACCTCAATTTGTTTCATATCAACTTCAAATTTGGAACATAACTTATTTAGATATAAGGCTTTAATGTTATACCAATTTTAGAGTAAAACCTGTTTTACTCTAAAATATAGTGCATTTTCTTTACAGTAAATTTAAACTACCATAACTTTTTGATACTTTAATATACAAGACGTTAAGGTAAATGTCTATACAGAAATCAATTTACTTTTCAAGCTAACTTACAAAATATTCACAGTAAAACGTGTGACAACTAACCCCAGTCTCCTCCAATATGTTAGCACTGTAAATCATGGTTAAAAATGAATTGATAATTGCAGAGAACAGGCTTTGCCAGAAGACAATAACACACAAGAGTTCTGGAATCCAATTAGTTTGAAAATTATTTGCAAAAGGGTCACAGTGTTATCGACTATGCATGAGGAAGCAGCAGGAATCAGGGCAGGTTTTCACTCAGACAGACTCAGTTCTGTTATGGCTGTGTGGAGGAAATATTCCACTAATAAAGTGACGTGACATGTGACATGTGGCCAAGTATGGTGACCCATATTCGGAATTAGTGCTCTGCATTTATCCCATCCAAAGTGCACACACACAGCAGTGAACACACACACACCGTGAACTCACACCCAAGGCAGTGGGCAGCAATTTCTGCTGCGGCGCCCGGGGAGCAGTTGGGGGTTCGGTTGGGTTACGAGTCCGACTCTCTAACCATTAGGCCACGACTTCCCCTTAACGCACCACTGGACTGATTTGATAACTTTTAGGTGTTTGAATGTTTGAATGTTCATCTGAAGTTTGATTATTGAAAGATGAGAAGATCGAAAAACCAGATTTAAAGAACAGAAATATTAAACACCTACTGTAGAGGTCCGTTTCATCCACAATCTCAGACTTGATGATTTCCTCGATGACGTCTTCCAGAGTGACAATGCCCATGACTTCGTAGAAAGGATCTCCTTCTCCTTCATTATTGACCCTCTGCACGATAGCCAAATGAGATTTCCCTTTACAGTGCCAGAGAAAGACATAGGATCATCATGGCTGGATATGCAATCGACATTTAATTTTACACTCACAAAACTGCAGTGCTATTAAATCAATCCATGAAGTTATTAGTCAAAGTGTGCAAAATCAATAGTCACACAACTTTAGTAAATGAAGCCCTGTCCATTTATTTTACTCCTCGGATACTTTTGTATGTGATTTCTGCGGCAGAGAGTCTTTTGCATTGTTGAACTGATTTGACACATGACATAAAGAGTGCTTGAAATGAAGGCTCATGAAGAGATTCATGAAGATAACAGACCTTTTGGCAAAGCTGCATTACATTATGAGAGATTTATAAAACAATCTGTTGAAATGACCAGGCTTCAACTGTTAGTTTCTAAGGCTCCGGTATATATACAGTATATACTGTATATATACCGGAGCTTATTGCATCAATCGCTACATAATTCCTATTCCTCAAACTGTATTCTGCATTGATAATCAGACTTTACATTTTCAAAACACTTCAAACAAAGCAAATAACTAAAGGGATAGTCCACCCAACAAAATGAAAATTCTGTCATCATATACTCATCTTCAAGTTGTACCAAACCTGTATGAGTTTCTTTCTTCTGTGGAACATAAATCATTATATTTTAAAGAATGTTGGTAATTAAACAGTTGATGGTTCCCATTGACTTCCATATATGGAAAAAAAAATAGTATGGAAATCAGTGGGGACCATAAACTGAAATTCTTCAAAATATTATAATTTTTTTTTTGTTCAGTAGAAGAAAAGACATTCATGCAGGTTTTGAACAACATGAGGGTGACTTAAATTTTTGGGTGAACTATCCCTTTAAGCTCAAATGCAGGTCAAATGCAACATGCATGCTGCACAAGCATGAAAATTAAAAAGGCCTAAAACATGATTTAGAAAATAAATTATAACAAAAAAAAAGCAATTAACATAGAAATTCATGCATTTATTTGCATATGCATTTTTAGGACAAACTGTGCTATTGGATTCTATTTGGAAATCAGTCAGGCATTTCCTTCAACAGTTCGTCTGTGTTTTTCTTTCCATTTTCAGCCCCACACTGTGCTTTATTTAGCATTTCCCACCATACTGCTCTGCCATGCATCACATGAGTAGAGTATAGTGCCAGCTTTAACGAGTTCATTTGCTGGCACAGCAGCTGAGGGAACTGCAGGAACATCCACGTGGGCTTAGAACCCCTGGCTCGCGTGCATGCGTGTGCACGTTACATAATAGTGTAGTGATGTAATGCAGTTCCCTGAACATCAGCTTTGAGGTCTATCGTGCCGAGTGCTGCATTGCCCTTGCTCTCCACCTGACTCCTGCAGAATTCTTCACTTCACTCAGCGTGTGCCGCTACCATGGAGACCACAGCGTGACAGACACTTCTGTCCATTAGGTTCTCTCTATCCAAAGGTTGAGGATTATATATTTAATCCTCTCTGCCTGAAATGATATTCCAAATCTGGCCGACTGATGATTAACAGAAATGTGCTAGCTGGGATGTTTTGTTTGTTCCATTGCAAAGAGCTCCTGTCTGGGAATTCAGTGAACAATATTGTATAAGCAACACAAATCATGCTTCATATTATGAGCTTTTTAAAAAGGGTTTTTACATATAGCTTAAAGTAATTTAGTTTTGATGACTTTTTTTTTTTTTGCTGCTGCTGTTCCTTTAAGATTCCAATGTAAGTGCCCTCTTTGCATGTGAAATGAGATATAGCTTTGCTGCAGCAACAAGCTGCTGGTTTGCTGTTGGTGCCAATATAGATTCAGCAGCCCCATATTTCAATAACAGACCTTTTGGCAAAGCTGCATTACATTATGAGAGATTTATAAAACAATCTGTTGAAATGACCAGGCTTCAACTGTTAGTTTCTAAGGCTCCGGTATATATACAGTATATACTGTATATATACCGGAGCCTTAGAAACTAACAGTTGAAGCCTGGTCATTTCAACAGATTGTTTTATAAATCTCTCATAATGTAATGCAGCTTTGCCAAAAGGTCTGTTATTGAAATATGGGGCTGCTGAATCTATATTGGCACCAACAGCAAACCAGCAGCTTGTTGCTGCAGCAAAGCTATATCTCATTTCACATGCAAAGAGGGCACTTACATTGGAATCTTAAAGGAACAGCAGCAGCAAAAAAAAAAAAAGTCATCAAAACTAAATTACTTTAAGCTATATGTAAAAACCCTTTTTAAAAAGCTCATAATATGAAGCATGATTTGTGTTGCTTATACAATATTGTTCACTGAATTCCCAGACAGGAGCTCTTTGCAATGGAACAAACAAAACATCCCAGCTAGCACATTTCTGTTAATCATCAGTCGGCCAGATTTGGAATATCATTTCAGGCAGAGAGGATTAAATATATAATCCTCAACCTTTGGATAGAGAGAACCTAATGGACAGAAGTGTCTGTCACGCTGTGGTCTCCATGGTAGCGGCACACGCTGAGTGAAGTGAAGAATTCTGCAGGAGTCAGGTGGAGAGCAAGGGCAATGCAGCACTCGGCACGATAGACCTCAAAGCTGATGTTCAGGGAACTGCATTACATCACTACGCTATTATGTAACGTGCACACGCATGCACGCGAGCCAGGGGTTCTAAGCCCACGTGGATGTCCCTGCAGTTCCCTCAGCTGCTGTGCCAGCAAATGAACTCGTTAAAGCTGGCACTATACTCTACTCATGTGATGCATGGCAGAGCAGTATGGTGGGAAATGCTAAATAAAGCACAGTGTGGGGCTGAAAATGGAAAGAAAAACACAGACGAACTGTTGAAGGAAATGCCTGACTGATTTCCAAATAGAATCCAATAGCACAGTTTGTCCTAAAAATGCATATGCAAATAAATGCATGAATTTCTATGTTAATTGCTTTTTTTTTGTTATAATTTATTTTCTAAATCATGTTTTAGGCCTTTTTAATTTTCATGCTTGTGCAGCATGCATGTTGCATTTGACCTGCATTTGAGCTTAAAGGGATAGTTCACCCAAAAATTTAAGTCACCCTCATGTTGTTCAAAACCTGCATGAATGTCTTTTCTTCTACTGAACAAAAAAAAAATTATAATATTTTGAAGAATTTCAGTTTATGGTCCCCACTGATTTCCATACTATTTTTTTTTCCATATATGGAAGTCAATGGGAACCATCAACTGTTTAATTACCAACATTCTTTAAAATATAATGATTTATGTTCCACAGAAGAAAGAAACTCATACAGGTTTGGTACAACTTGAAGATGAGTATATGATGACAGAATTTTCATTTTGTTGGGTGGACTATCCCTTTAGTTATTTGCTTTGTTTGAAGTGTTTTGAAAATGTAAAGTCTGATTATCAATGCAGAATACAGTTTGAGGAATAGGAATTATGTAGCGATTGATGCAATAATTTGAGGGCCAGTACACTTTAAGTGTAGGCACCTTTTTTATATTATTATTATTTTGTTTTCTTCAGTAGAGTTTATGACCCCTATAACTTTCTAGCACCACCAGCAGTTCAAAATGTCACATACATTTTAGCTCATAATTTATGAACTGAATAGAAACTAAATTCTCTCTTTTCATTCCCTGGAGAAGTTTCAGTTACTGCCCAACTAGATTTTTGGCATTTGTTTGCAGTCCCCCTACCCCCATCTAATTTGGCCTTTTTTTTTTTTTTTAGCAAAGCAAACAATTTTCAGTCAAACCCTGAGCCATTGGATTGTTTTTTTTTTAGCACCATTTTCTGCATAATTCCCAGTGGAATCATTAGCAAACATCAATAGGTATGCCATATTATTATTAATGTTATTGGTCCTTTTAAAATTTATTTTTATGGGCTTTTTGTCTTTATAGGACAAACCAGCAGAGTTAGAAGAGGAAACAATAGAGAGAAGTATTGGAGGCTGCCAACCAAATGATGATCAGTCAGGACCTGTGTGATTTCTTGGTTTTACACTCTGCCTAAGTTTGAATACGTTTGCTGTTTTAAAGGGACAAATATAAAAAAATCACAAAAGAAGATATTTTGAAAAATGTCTGTTTTTCCCCCCCACCCATACAATGAATGTCAGTGAAGTCAAAAACATTCTTAAAATGTCATTTTTGGTCCAGAGAACAAATAAAGAAATACAGTTTTGGTGAACTGCATGCGAGCAACTAGTGTATTTTAAATTTAGCATTTTATATTTGTTATGCACTGAAAAGAATCATAATATTTTTAAAGAGCAGATACATTTTGACAGTTTTACCACTTCAGTAGCTTCCAGCTTTAACTTCTTCAGGAGAAAAAAAGGTCATTTTATTCAGTTTCACCTTTACCTGCAGTTCAGCACCTGTCTTACTTCACTGAGTGGAGAGGGAAAGGTTGAGCCTGCATATTTCATAATTCCAGCTGTAATTTGTTCACTGGAGGCAGAAGCTTCAAAGAGTGACAGGCTGGGTGCTCACAGTGTGAGGAAGCAGATCCTCTTCTCTCTCACTCTGCTCTTTTTGTCCATATGGTCCCAAGCTGAGACACTGATTGGACCAAAAGGTCACTGCTGCAGCTAATCTACCCTGATGTTTCTATACAGATAAGCACTTGGATTTAAAGGGATAGTTCACTCAAAATTGAAACTACTTCATTTACTCAATCTTATGTCATTCCAAACCTGATGTCTTTACACTGCTAAACTCCAAAATGGTGTCATGTGGAGCTCACTTAAGAATGAAAATTTGCTGAAAATGTACTCACTTTCAGGTCATTCAGTTAAAAACATCTTAATGATGGATTTGTTTCTTACAAACATGCATCTTTTTGCTAGATATTGATGGATTGGAGTCGTGTGGTTTACTTGTGGATTATTGTGATGTTTTCATCAGCTGTTTGGATTCTTATTCTGATGGCACCCATTCACTGCAGAGGATCTATTGGTGAGCAAGGGATGTAACGCTAAATTTCTCCAAATCTGTTCTGATGAAGAAACAAACTCTACATCTTGGATGGCCTGAGGGTGAGCACATATTCAGCAAATTGTCATTTTTGGGTGAACTATTCCTTTAACAGTCACGGTCACAATCAACTGTCATAAAAGAGGTGTATAAAGATTGTTAAACATTTCCATGAAAAAAGATATACTGTAACAACATACAAGTATTTAACATACATCCTTTACAGTTCCATTTGAATGGAGCGATTTCTAAAAATTGAAAGCAATCCAATAGGTAAACTTTCTTTGACCTCAGTTCTAAGTTTCTCTCAGACAGTTCTGCTGTGTGGTGTGCAAAAGTCTTGCACAAAGATTAAACTCAATACAGGGTTGAAAAGCAGTGCCTGTGTCAGTCTGTGCTGAACATCCTATTTTTGGTCTGGATGTTGCTTAAACTGCCCTGGATTCCTACGGCGGTTATGGAACTGATACTGTTGATGATCCCTTTACTATTGCGTATGAACATTTGTGCCCTGTGGGGAAGGTAAATCTGGTGAATCTTGTACTCTGTGAGAGCGGTACATCTGACAGGTTACTGCATTACGGCTGAATTATGGCACTCTGCACCCTGCTGCTGCTGCTCTGTAGCTTTGACTCTGTGCCTTTGCAGAAAACACCATCAATCTCAATAAGACACTATTACATAATTGCCACTGTGCTGCAGTAAAGGCCAACGTTATCACATACCAGGCGTCAGAAAACATCACTGTCTAGACTTTGTGCAGGGCAGGACCAAAAGGAAATGATATTCATCCCTGCATTCCACACATCAGGGCTTGACATGAGTAATTTATGGATTTTCAGTTAAAGGCGTGTCAAAATATGACTAATAGAACTCTTGTGGTGAACAGTAAGTAATGATGACAGAATGAAAACGGTTGCCATGGGAACAAATTTAAATTATTCAAGTCATCCAGCTTCTAGAGTCTCTGGAGATGTCAGCTAAAGTAAAGATGAGGCTGACGCTAAACTACATATAAGTATAACATAAAATTATTATATGTTAATTATTATGTTATTACATTATAGAACACTAAATTTGTTGTATTATTATACGTTATAGTCAACATATCCAAAGGGCAATGCATCACTTTATCTAAGATTTAACCAGTACATTGGCGAGCTGGATCACGTGGCGATGACACACACCCACGGACACACACATCGACTCTGTTTGCCGAGTCAATGTAACAGCTGGAGTCTCATGTAAATAGAATGACACCGCAGTGACGTCATGACGCTTTGCAGGGCTGCGATACTGTAAGTGTAAATGTATAGACTACTGTCCAGAAAAACCGGCCAAAACATCCAGCCAGAGATGATGTGATACGATTTCTGTTCATTTTACCATTGTAAGCCCAAGAAGTCGGTGGACAGATATGTAAACATAAAGAACTTTCTTAAAAAGGCATTTCTTTATTTAATATTACATTTAATAATTAAGGTTTAATATAATGTAAAATAGTTTGATAATAAAAGGTATCAAAAGTATTACTCTAAAGTAATACTTATTAAAGTACTCTTTTCTTTTTATATTGACAGACCCTTGGCTGGGTCTGTGAAGACCGAAAGCTCTCAAATAGCTTTATTAGTAAACCAGCAACATGAGGTACAATTGTATTGAATCACACATTTTGCATTTAATAAAAAGAAAAAATTATATTATTATTATTATTATTATCATCTGTATATTCTTAGTAAATGTCATGCAATATTTGTCCTTATGGTGGGGTAAATACAGGTAACGTAAAGTAACGTATCCTTAAGTTACTTGCCATCCAAAAAGGCAATAGATGTTCTATTCAAACTCAATGCAAACTCGACTTTTATGTGGAATAAAAGTTAACGAGTCACAACGATTCATCACCACAAGGTGGCACTACATAACAATTTGCCTGCACTTCGATAACTGAATGATGGAAACTTTTAGACAAGTTATTGTTCTATTTGACTAATGAAATAAAATGTAAAATTGTAATTACGCAAAACACCTTCATATATAGTGGCATATTTACTAAACTACATACATGCATAAGATATGTACAAATGTCTCCTGGTAGTTTTTTTCTTTTTCTTCTTCTCTTAAGAGAATGCTTGTACGGTGGCTACATATATATTCAAAGACGTGAACACAAAACCGATATTAACCGATATCGATATTAAACATCTATAAGATAATTGTTAGTTCAATCACATTTTATAACACAAACTTCACCTATTTGCATTTCCAGCCTTTTTGGTTCCCAAAATCAATAAACTCGTTCTGTGGGGGGTTTTGTTAAATCATTTAGAAAAAAACCCCTCCATTCTCCAACAGCAGGGTGAAACAATAAATTGTGGTCTCATAAACACTTACTTTAATCCCATGGGTGTTTGGAGCCAGGCCTCAAGCAGACAGCCAATGGCACAGATGATAGAGAACACCATTCTGAGCAGTTTATGGGTGAGATAAAACTAAGAAAAATAAGAATTTGGAGATGTTTGGCTGTGTGTGCTAACCACTCTCGTCTGCTCGGCATCTCTCGCGTCCACTTCGTAAATCAGAGACAAATATGTGGACCTTTTTTCTTTCTCTCTTATTGTCCACGGCTCGTAGATATTCAGAGGGACCCGTATGTAAAGCCTTGCCCTTGTCGACGGTCTGCAGGGAGGGCTCACAGGACAGTTAGCAGGCTCAGGAAACTTTTAACTAATAAGTTATTGATGGTCCACTTGGTTGAAATGTTGCGCGTCCTTTAGGAGCTTGTTTGAAACAGTAGGAGTGCCGTGCTCGGATGGTTTCACTAAAAGACTCAACAATGTTTCTATTGCTGTGTGAGGGGGGCAGGGAGCATCACAACACAAATAATATACACATTTTTAAATGAAAAGAATAAAGAAAATTCATATATATGCAAACATATTATGTAGTTGTTTAGTCTAATGCAGTTTAAGATTACAGGGAATGGTTTTATACTTTCATATAATCCTGTTTAAATTCTGCTGCAAATAAACATTTCAGATTCCGACAGGATGAGATCCTTTAAAGTGTACATGTGCTTTAAACCAGGTGAGTGGACATTTTCCTATTATTCTATTACTAACGGAAAATGCCAGTTATTTGTTGACCCGGTTTTTTATTTTTTTTATTTTATTTGAAATGTCTGTGAACTTTGACAAATGACCCAACCCAAATATGCATACATAATAGTAATGGTGTTGTATATGGCTAATATTACGCAGTACAACGTAAAGCATTTTGAGCTTTAGTTTGAAATCTTTCTCTTGGCATCTAATTAACATAATCGTATTGTCATCATTTGAATAACGAATAATGTGCGTAATTATTGCCATAACCTGAAACTTTTATGCAGAAATTAAATGCTTTAAGTGAAGTTGAAAAGTGTTACTAAATGCATTCTAAAATAAATCAATACATCAATAATTATTCTGAAGAAAGAACTATACTTGGATGTATTATTTAGAATATTTGGAACTTTATCCATGTTGTATTTATAGCTAAAAAGGTTTTATAAAAGTTTTAACCTCGCACTTTTATCAGAATGGGAGCAACAGATGCAAAAGTCTGAACTAGGCTACTTTATAGCCTATATTGTTACAAAACGGTGTATGTTAACCCTATTTGATATTTACTCCCAATAATTTCTGAAACGGTGAGTTCCAGTTTAGAAAGCTAAAAATGAACTTCAAAAGATTTCTCGTATAAAACTTGATCAATCTTGCCACAAATCTGAGGTTAAAGAGAGGCGCCCTGTCTGGTTTGCTGCCAAGAAACATACTGTAAAGCAGCACAGAGTCTTATTTTCTTTCTGTTTTGTTTTATTCTCATTTATTCTGCAAAAAATGGACTGTCGCAGGACGCGTGGGATGTTAGGCCAAAATGTCAGTCACAGGAGGAAAAATCACATGTTTCCCGTTATTACACAACAGTGTCGTGAGTGGGGTGAGTTGAGCATTATTTTATTATCTATAATGGACTGTGCACGTCTCAAGTTTAATAAGAGCATGCATTCACCAGTTGAAATGACAGCACGTCTGGCTGGTGTGTCACGCCAGAAGATGCACCCTACTCATAAACCGAATTTTTAATAGGCTAAACCATATGTTCAGCATTTTATATTCACATTTCACAGCAAAGCTATGCAGTGCATAAAGCAATGAAAGGACAAAGAACCGCGTCAGATCTGTGTTGCTCTGGAATAATACATTTTTAAAATGCACTACAATTATTTGATCGAAAAGATGAAAAACTAATTCGCGCTGGTGTATTTGTGAACGAATATTTCAAAAAGATAAAGCAAGAAGTGAAGGAGAACACGAGATGAGTTGCGTGGTTAATGATCATTATTATTTCTTTTAGAGTTTCGTGATCTTTATATGCTAAATTGTTTGCTTCTTAGGAGACCACCGGTCCCGACGTGGATAATTATTTATAATAAACACATTTTTATAAAAAGAGAGGCTGATATGTCAGCAGGTTATTGATATTTTGTCAGGTGTTTTTCTTGCTCGGGGAAAATAATATATTTTCCTCCTATGAATAGGCTACGTAATGATTATTATTTTATACGATAGTTAGGCTACACATTGTAGGCTATTTTATTCTTCAGCATTGTTTATTATTTTCCACCACGTGATTTTTATCTGACTATATAATGTGATTATATAGGTTTTTATCTGTGTAAACTGCCTAAAACAATTCCAGTCCTTTTGAAGAAACCTCATATTTACACCTCATATAGAATAACGTGTAAATGCAAATCAACATATCAATATATCAACTTGAAAATGGCACGACGGAGACGAAAAACACAAAAGAAGGTTTTTTTTCAGTTGCAAATCTATGCAATGTTCATCTGAAGAAAACAAAAACAGTCAGAAAGCTCAACTTTTAATTCTCTTCACGTGGACGTGTTAAAAATAAGCGGATTCGTTTACTGTTTGTAGCCATTCTGGCTCCATGATAGTCAGTTGCTCGATGATAACGACAACAGGACCGAGTTTTAAAATAAGGTGAACAGCTGATTAATCTACATTAACCTACATCTTAATCTACAGCTACATGTCATATGGACCGTCGCTCGTCTTTTTAGACGACTAAATCAAAATTACGTACTGTTTTTTTAGTAAGTCATATTGATAATGTGGGGGAAAAAATTATAATAGCAGAAAACAAGCCTTTAAAAATAAATGTTCCAATTGACTTTATAGATTGACTCCATTGGAGAACCTTTTTAAAATAAAGAAAAAGATAACTCATATGCTGATGTTAAAAACAATGTGAATAACCTATAAATGTAACACCAATAACTTTTAACTCCAGTGAACCATATTCAACCATAAATGGTTTTGGATAAAAAAAAAAAAAGAGGATTCTTTGCAGAATCCTGCTGAATTTGGATAAAAAATAGGATTCTTTGCTGAATTACAAAGAACTGAAGAACCACGAGTTTTCTGTTTGCCCATTTTTTATTTATTTATTTATTATTATTATAATCTTTTCTTTTCTTTTTTGGTGCAGACAGAGCAGTTAAGGTTCAGACACCCCACACTCAGAGAAGCTTCTGTTAAATAAGAGTCATCTTACCTTTAAGAGCTGTTGCGTTATAGAGGGCGGTGCAGGGGCAGCAGTGTGATGGAGGTTGGCCCTGGGGCGTGAGTTTACTCCAGCTAACTCCAAAACAGCTGAAGACCGGGGGGCTGAAAGAGACACCAGTGATCCTCGCTCAAGGAGGGGCATAAACACACTTCAGGTGCTTTGTGATCGGGTTTTATAAGGAGATCTCTGCTGGATCTCCCTCACTGCGCTCCGCACGGTACTTGAGGACAGAAGATGCCCAGGCAGTTCCTCTGCCCAGTGTTCGGCTCGTCACTGTGGTTTGCACTGATACTCCAGTCTCTCATTTCCTCCGCCGTTACCTACAGGAGACCAGTGTCCGGAGGGAAGAGACAGAGCTTTCTGGAGAGAACCTTAATTTTACTGGACGTGAATACGCGAAGCCCGGTGAAAGTTTTGAATGACAACTTCCTCTCGTTGCAGTTGGATCCATCTATCATAAAGGATGGCTGGCTGGACTTCTTAAGGTATTGCAGTTTTGCAATTACACCCTACGCCTGACGATGGTTTGATGGTGCTGATGTGTTTGTGTTGATTTAGGAAGACCCTGCTGGGGAAGCCGTCCAATAGGTGTGTTTTAGAACATGGTAGCTGGTTTAAAGCTGGTCCAAACTGGTTAACCATATTGGATTAGCAACATACTATCTTAAAGTGGTCAATCTGGATGACCAGCTAGAAACCATCTTCCATGTTTCAAGCAGAGCTACCAGGCTTCAACTGGATTTTCCAACAGGAACGCTACTAGACATTATCAGTGAATCTTTCCAATAACATATAACTGCCCTAACACCTGATACTGCTATTTATGTATGTTTTAATCTATCGACCAACGTCTTGAATACACTTTTTTTTTTACACAATACCATATTTTTCTAAAGATATATGCTAACTCCAAACCCATTTGTTCTTATTAGACATTTATTTTTCACAGATAAACTTCATGTTTGGTTGCACTTTTTGAAAGAGACAGATTTTCTATGCAGCTTATAATTGTATCTTGTAAAATACCAGTGTAGCCTACCATATCTCTGTACGAACTTTCGGACATTCATTTTACGCGTAAAGTAGAATTCAACATGTTTACGCGCAATGTTAAAAAAAAAAAAAAAAAACATCTGTTCAATCCCAGTGATACAGTGTTGTTGGATGAGCTTCGCCCGATCTCTCTACTCCACATACGAATATGAATTTATATATTAGAACGCGAAACCTGAATATACGCACAGATTTGAATGGTTGTGTTAATTTGCACACCAGGGCTTGACCTGGAAGTGAATATGAGTGTTCCAGCCCCCAGAGGAGAAAAGACACAAAACCATACGGAGAACCGAAATGTAAGTGTCTTTCATAGCCCCGGACAGCTTTCAGTATCGATGTAGCGTAGTGTTTACCATCGATATAGTACCAAATAATTATTATGATAGTCAGGATGAGGTGTTGGAAAAAAAGAATTTAAGAAGTGGCCCACATAAATCTGAACCACAATCTGCTGTCGTGGCATTTGTTAGTTTTCTGTCGTGTACAGTGCAAGTTATTGCAGACTTATAAAGCAGTCAGAGGGGTTTGCTTGGGTTTTACATTTAAATTGCGTACTTCGTTTCTTTCTGTATAGCCTAGATGGCAAGAAACAAGGACTGAATAAAAGCAGAATTTGACTTGTCTACTTGAACATTTATATCCACTATATTATGTTCTTTTTTACAATCTTCTATGGTTTGAGAACAGCCGTTCAACAGATTTGATGTGATATTTATCATGTTTAGCTAATGATATGCGCATGCATGCGTTCAAAACAAGGTTCTCATAATGTTAATGCCTATTGTAACAATAATAGGCTACCATTATGTTGAAGTATATATATGTAAATGTATGAATTATTATCGCTATTATTCTGTCGGAAGCTGCACTACTATTTTTTAATTTTTTAAAATTGAAAAACCCAAAATAACATGCAAGTCATGCTTGGTCTGATTAAATGTAATTATTCACATTATTGGACGTGACACCAGATGAGCGAATTGTGAGTTTGTGTACCGCTACATGCTTAAGTTTTCTCTTTCTCCTATATGCATATATATACATATATATATATATATATATCATATCATATATGTATCCTCATGTATTTTCTAAAAAACAGTTTCTGGCACACCGACCAAACGCAGGCTTCGCCGATTCAGTTTCTGGCAATTTAGCTTGTTTTGCTTTTCACAAAATAATATAAAACAATTCACATAATATATTTTATTTCACTCCTTTTTAATTCCATGTGATTTTATTCTTCTTTGATTTCATCTGGTGTTGTTTTTTTAAGTTCTCTACGCTCAGAGGCAGAATATTTGTTTATAGGCCTAGTTTTATGTGCACCTTTTTTTTTTTACAGCTTCTCTTTTTACGACTGGTACCGTATCATGTCTCATTATTTAGGAAAGCACAAAAAAAAACTGGTATTTATTTAATTTTTTAATTTATTTTTTTTAGAAAGAAACGAGCGTGTAGCACCACAGGCTGCAGCTCTGTGTGAAATAATCTGCTGTTGATTCCACCACTGACTGCGACCTAAAACCAAGCATACATCACACTAAATCTGATGAACGACAGTCTGTGAGTTTCCGTAAGAAAGTTATGCACCAATCTAATGGCGACAACTAGGTCGCAAATAAAAAAAGATTGAAGAAAATATCCAAAAAATAAAATAGGGGTTTATAATAATTGATGAGCTTTGAGATATTATTGCCTTGTCCTGCTCTGAAAATGATCCCGTTTTTTTTGTCCTCATTACAGACTTTACATCGTCAAGTAAAATAAGACGCAGTGTGTGTATACAATACTATATGTTTGCTGTATGTTATATATGTTGTGTAATATATAATTTGAAAGGATATAGATCCTATACAAACAAGCCTTAAATAAATTAGTCAGTTTATTCAGTTTATTGTCCATCTTCACTCTAACAGTGTAAAGTCATAAAGAAACCCTCTCTTTCTGATTTGATGCACTATACAGTGTCTTATCAGGTAATCTAAATAACTTGCTTCATATGGTCACATTTAAATGGACATGTTTTATTAATTTAAAATATGACTAACTTAACTTATTTCCTATGACTGAATCAAAATGACTACTTTAGATTGGTCAAGTTAAATTAGGACCGAACGGCTCCTTTAAGGTAACCACTGCTCATTTTTACTTTTCCAGTGCAGCATTGTTGTAGCCCTTGGGTTTCTTTACATCTTTCTGTATCCACAGCTCCAAGCGGTTAGTCACTCTGGCACGGGGACTCTCTCCAGCTTATTTGAGGTTTGGGGGCAAACGGACTGACTTTCTCCAGTTTCATAACCTGAAGAATCTTGGAAAGTTTAGAGGGCCTGGACCAGACTATTACCTCAAAAACTATGAAGATGGTGAGGTCTGATTTGCTCGTTTTCAATTAGGGATTTTGCATAAATTGTCAGGATTGAATGAGAAGTTTGGGATCAGAAACCTTGATGGAAATGTAACTATATTCTAGAAATACTGTTTGGAATCAAGATATTAAAGCGGTGCCTATGTAGAACAAAAATGTGCATGTACAAACCAAAAATATATCTGAATAAATATTGATGCATTTAATTTGTTTAGTGCATGTCTGTGGAAAAGAAATGGCTTTTTAATTACCCATACTTTTTTTTTCAATAGACATGAAAGAGAAAGAAATACATTTTGAGTATCTAGTAAACATGTCCACAAGGCAAACCACATGCATGGTTACATTACGCTTTTAGTGGTTAGTTTGTCCTCTTGATGGGCAGATATGCACAAAGAACTCCAAAAGCATTCTCGCGGTTTCCATGCAGACATAGTGCGCAGTGACTTCGCTCTGGACAAACAAAAGGGTTGCAAGCTGGCCAGCCACCCAGACATGATGCTGGAACTGCAGCGGGAGAAAGCGGCTCAGATGCAACAGGTCTTGTTGAAAGAACAGCTCTCCAACATCTATAGCGATGTCACATTAACAGGTAAGAGATTACAGCAACATGCAGATGCTGAGCTAATCCAGTGTATATCATGGTTAGGCTTTGTTTTTTTTTTGCCTCAGAATTTCACCAAATAGCCTTAAACATATATGCTGCTCAGAAAAAAAAGGTACAAAGCTGTGACTGGGGCAGTAGGCCTAACCTAAGGCACAAAAACTAAAAGGTACATTTTTTTTGTTCCTTATTTATCCCTAAATGGTACAAATTAGTACTTCTTAAAGTACATATTAGTACCTTTTGAAAGTGTATCACATCCAGTGACATTGTTGTGCCTTTTTTCTGAGATTGTAGGTTTTTAACAAACTATTGAACAGAGCATATTATTAGTGACAAAAATTAAGAAAAGATTTTTGAAGTTAGTAGGAAGGTTTAGTCTTGTAGATGGTGTGTTTACGACTGTGTTGTTTTGGGTGCTTTCTGTATTTATAGTTGGGTTTTATGTTGTTTAAGAACTATATTGAGATGTTTTGTCTCCAGGATCATAGGTACGCCAACAAATGCAGTGATGTAATCATTTCTGCTTGTTACAGAAACGCATAGGTTTCAAATGATGAGAGACAGGATGGTCCGGCAAACAATCAGCCAAGCATATGGGTTTATTGATCACTTTCAACAGCTGTGCTTTGCCTGTTTGTATAAATCCAGTGTCCAATTTCAGATTTCATAGTCACACACACAGACAATGTCCCAAATGTTCAGATCCCCCATTTTATGGGGGAATAAATGTTTGAAAGGCACTTGTCAGAGACCTTTGTAGTACTGAAAATGTCAGATCAAGGATTGCATGGAGCTGAATGAAGACATATACAAAAGGCTAGTAGAAACAACAGCTGACAATGATTTCAGAAATGATACTTTGTAAAAGCACTTGCTGTAGATCTGAGAAGGAGAGCAGGGAGGTTTTTGCATGCATTTGGAATCAGGTCAGTAGTATCTTTTCTGTGTGTATTAAAATCACAAAAAAATGTGTTTTGGTTGGATCAGGTGTGATGTTTTGTTTGGATCATGCAGTGATTTTTGTTGCGAAGACACTGTTGTCGATTGAACTCTGATTCAACACTCTACAAAGGGAATTAAGGGATATTTATGGGGTTTTCTTTGACAGACCAGCTTTTAGTTTTTTTGTAAATGCCATTGTTTTGTTATTATATTCATTGCAGTAATCTCAATGTAAACTCAAATCACTATCAGGTACAGTCAGCCGTAGAGAGATTATTTGTTTAAAACAGATTTAGTGTGGAAAGATTGTACTAAGTTTTATGTCAGGCACTGTGTGAGTTCCAGTACAGGTCACGCCGCTCATTTTCATATTAATATTGATATATAAGCTCAGATGAGAATTTCCGAACTGCACTTGACATCAAACCTAATCCGTTCTCATGCCAAATTCAGCAAAAAACACTCTTCTAACTTTCACCCTTATTTTCCAAACATCTTTTTACACACATCTGCGTTTGACAGGGCGGCTGTAAGAGGAATTGGGACTAAACACACTTAGCAAAGGAATCTCTCTCTCCGTGGATCTCAGCATGTATGCTGTAGCAAAAAGCCAGTCGTGTGCATGACTGATTGGTGAGAATGAAGACACCTGGGTGCACGGCACAGACGGGTCTGTTAGCAATCAAGATGCCCCCTGTGCAGTCACTGGCAGGTGGCAGGGGAATTGCAGTGAGATAGCCCTGCCCCATCCATTTCCACTCGGCACAGGTTGGCTTTTCTGAGCTTTTCTCATTAGAACTATCAGTAATAGGCGTGAAAGCCCCCTGCCAGTTAAAACAAACCGTGGTGAGACAATCCCAAGGTCATACTAGCTTTCACCTCTACACTCGCTACAGTTTAGTCCAGTTTAGTTAAAGCAAACCATCTGAGACAAGTCGAGGTCAGGGCACTCAAAGCTCTCAAATTGCTACAGTTCCATGCTGCTTTTATGTTCCATGATGTTGCCTGTTGTTTTAGCTCCTTATTCACTGCGTTTTCAGTTATTTTGTTATTATTAAATATTGCTTTATAAAAGATTTGCATTTCCTGTATTTATGTTTGTAAGGCACATTTTTTTAAAACCCTAAAGAAATTAGTAACAATAAAAAAGTGTCTAATTAAGTAAGATTCTTTAACCATACAAAGCCTACTGCGTATTACAACTATATCATAATTGACGCACACATTTCTAAGGCCTCTAAATTATCATCATGATCAAGACTTGCTCTTTAGCAAGTAACAGGGCTTTTAGTATAATTGTAAAACTGTCCAGCGTCAGGTTGTAGTCTTTTTGCTGTAAAATCTTTACAGATAAGAATAACTTGTTATCCATAAATCATTTTTTAGAAAAAACATGTTAAAATGTATCAAATATGATACATAGGCTTTTTGGGGGGAACGTTTATTTCCACATCTCTCAGTCATTATTGTATTGCATTGCATTTTATGTTAAACTGTTCAATTTTTCTGATTATGATTTAATGTGTCAGGTTTTACATGGTTAACTGATCACTGATGGGCTGCCATTCTAAGATCATTTGAATAACCAAATACTATTTGCTTGGCTAACTGCAGATGCAGCATTTGGTATTTTCAGCAACAAAAAAAAAACCGGTTGCTTTTGCATGATATCAAGTAGCATATCTTCCATTGCAAACAGAAATTACCTTTAAAGTTTTAGGCTTTAAAGTTTTAAAGTTTTGCTCTAGGTAAACAAAATGCTCCATTATGACTGTTTTGCTGATTTCATGATACTAAGCAAGTGAATAATTTTCTAAATAGATGCAGAAAAGAAAAGACCAATTGCATTTGATAATGCAAATAGATATAAAAGATGAAATAAAGCATTCAAAATGGCATTTTATTAATTTAGCAGAAATCTACACATATATTCATTTAGCAAATATTAGGTGGTTACATTAGGATGCATTCTGGTTCCATTTTAAATGGTGAACATTATATAATCTACATAATGAGAGTTTTTATAGTTAACAAAAACATTTAGCAAACAATAACATTGAATATCACAGCTAAGGCTGAAATAACCTACAGCACATACAAGATAGCGTATACGTACAGGCTAAATTGTTTGCAGAAATTGAATACTTAGGGTTGGCTATTTAAAACAAACCCAAACCAGAATGTTTGTGAAAAATCAATTGCATGCATTATTGAATTGAGTAATAATGGCCAGTGGAACCGTCACCTTTAAAGACTGAATTATGTGCTTATTTGGACATTGTAACCGTACATTTCATCAGCGTGTTAGTTTCCAGTGCTGATGGAGTCAAGGATTCGTGAATATCACAGCATTCATAACCCCACAATAGATGTATATATCATTCAGTACAAGCAGACATATTAAGAATGATAAATATCCACAGTCCACCTCTCTAAATGACTTATGCTCGCTTTGTTTGTATCCCATTCCTGGAAACTACTCTCTTCCACATGCACTGAGTGAAGTGTCAACTGATATGTAGCTAAATGCGGTGAAGGTAAATTCCATTGTGTGCTCAGAGCTCAGCTGTAGAGGGCTTTATAGTTGTCATCGTGTGATTCTTAGCGTGTCTGAGGTCATGGTGCACTTTAGATCCGTGAACTGGTTTGCCAGACCCTCAGGAGAGCAGCATTCATCATAAATAACTGTCCCTTTAAATCGCATGAATTTTTTTGCTTTCGCTTTCTGCTCAAAACATTTCTCCAACGTCCACTTACAGACATAAAGGAGTCTGTCTGGGCGATGCTAGCATGTTTGCAGCACAGCTATATTCAAAGCTATTTCCTGTCCGTTTGCTCAAAGACAAATGACAGGAAGTTGTCCAGTGAGGGCAGTTTGAGTATTAGCTAGCTGACAGTTAGCCTTTAGCCTCTCATTTTCGCTGACAGCAGTAACTACTTGAGTCCTCAAATAGTCATTAAAAGTAAGGAAATGTCATGCAAATGGGCTAGAGGTGGGGAAACCTCCAGTAATCGTTCCGCACAAAAATGAGGAGTGGCTTTGACCAGATGCAGTCTGAAGTGAGATGGTGCCATTTCACAACACTGCGTCATTTGTTTTCCCTCCACAAGTTTGGGTAACATGCCCATGTTACTCAGAATTGCTTTTTGGCTCGTTGAGCCCAAGTTTTTGTCCAGTTGATAATGTTTGCTCCATAGTTGGGCGGTTATTTCATTGAAACGATTGCTGGAGTATTTTGATGAATACCGCATGGCAGAATTTCATTTGCCAGTCATCGAATAGTCTTCCTGTCCTCTTCTCTCTTCTCGTGCTCAAAGTGACACAAAGAGTTTGGAGACTTTTTCCTCCTCTCCCAGCAGCAGTGAAAACACACATGTGTGCACTCAACACAAACACAGTGAGTGTACGTAGAATAGTGTGCTAATGATAGATCTGAGGCTCTGACAGATGTTTCTGCCTGTGAAGGAAAACATGATTTTTTTTTTCTGTATCTGAGACATTAAGCAGAGACTTACACACAATGCTCAATATTCCCCAGAAGAGTTAAGAGCTGAATATATCTGTAGGCCATACAAGTAGCACTCGTGAAGCACAGAGACACTTGATTCACAATTAGATCGATGAATTTGTTTCTTCATCAGAACAGATTTGGAGAAATTACATCACTTGCTCACCACAGGATCCTCTGCAGTGAATGGGTGCCGTCAGAATGAGAATCCAAACAGATAAAAACATCATCATAATCCAAGTAATCCGTGCGATTTACGTCAGTCAATTAACATGTGAAATGTGAAAAGCTGTTTGTAAGAAAAAAATCCATCATTCAGGCATTTTAACTTCTAACAGTTCATAATCTATAATAATGCTTTCTCCAGTGCAAAAAGTCCATCTCCTGTTGTCCTCTCACATCAGAATTCACCGACACATTTGTTTAGAACTGTTTTGGTCTGTTTTTCTTGTAAACAGAGCTTGATCTGAGCATATTTCTCTCCTGATTCAGTTGAGACTACATTTTCACTGGAGAATTATGGTTAGAGGACTC